CCGTGGTGGGTGTGGTGGTGTGCCCTGCCAGTGCCTGGGGACGCCACGGTTTCCTCCCCAGGGGATCAGAGTGACCACAAGCTGGCCCTGAGGAACATCGCCAGCATGGTGCGGCCTGGAGGTGTCCTGGTCATCGACCACCGCAACTACGATCACATTCTGGCCACGGGCTGCGCCCCGCCTGGCAAGAACATCTACTACAAGGTGGGTGGCTGGCAGACCCTGCCCCATCCCACTCCCCTCTACCCCAGCCCCCTGGCCCTGATGGGGCTGGACGGGACAGGGAGCAGGGCTGTGCCCAGGCTGGGGGCCACTGCATCCCTGCAGGACACAGACGTCCTCCTGCGGTCCCCAGAGTGACTTGACCAAGGACATCACCACCTCGGTGCTGCTGGTAAACAACAAGGCGCACATGGTGACCCTGGACTACACGGTGCAGGTCCCCCCCACCGAGGTGGGGGCAGCCCCAGAGCTGAGGTGAGAGGGGCTGTGGGGGTGGCTCCCGGCTCGGGGGGGTGGGTGGCTGGCACTGTGCCCAGCTGTCCCTCCCCCCCGCCTCACCGTCGTTGCCTCCTTGCAGCAAGTTTCGGCTCTCCTACTACCCGCACCGGCTGGAGGCCTTCACAGCCCTGCTGAAAGGTGCCTTCCACGGGAAGTGCCAGCACAGCGTCCTGGGAGACTTCCAGCCCTACACGCCAGGGCAGGCCCACGTCCCCTGCTACTTCATCCATGTCGTGAAGAAGACATCCTGAGGGGGCCACGGAGATGAGACTGTGGTGGCTGAGAGCTGCGAGCAGCTCTGGGGACAAGCAGGGGGCTGGGGACATCGCTGAGAGCCGCCTGGGAGCCCTCTCCCATTAATTAAGAGTGCTCATGAGAGCTACCGGAGCCCGTGGTCCGTGTGTCCGTGTATCCGCGTATGGGCAAGGTACGGGGCAAGGGCGATGGCTGCAGCCGCCTCGGGACTTGCAGGGATGGAAGGGCCCAGCCTGGGGGGAGCGTGGGGTGGGTGTAGGCACAGCCTCACCCCCAAGCCCCCGGCTGCAGGTGCCAGTCATGCCTGTGGTGTGGGGTTTGGCGCTCCCACTGAAGCAGAGGCAATGGTGGGTTGGCTCCTGGGTGGCTGCACATCGCTGCCAAGCCCACTGCAGCACCACTCACAGGGGTGTACTACAACTGGTTTTCTCCCTTGCAAGCCCCCAATCAGGTTCTGACCCCTTTTTTTTCTGCCAGCCCTCAGCCCCATCCAGGGGTGCCCACCCCCACCCCCCGTCGCAGCTCCCAGGGCAGGGAAGCTTCACACACCCCACCAGCGCTTTTTCTGTGGCTGCAGCTCCCTCCTTGCTCGCCCGGGGGAAGAGGTGGTGGCCAGATCCAGCAGCGTGTTGCGGTCAGGGACAGCGCTGCCTGAACACGCTCGGATGCCAGAGCAACAGGGCTTGAGGCACGCGTCAGCTGGGTCTTCATGCACGAAACACCTGCAGCTGCTGGAGAACCAGCCCCTGGGGGAGGAGCTCGGTGGGGAGCTGGTCCTCGACAGGCACGCTTGGCTCAGGGACACGGCTGCCAGCAGCCTCAGTGCAGGCAGCAGTGGAGCAAAGCCTGGCAGCAATGACCCCTTGGGCTGGGGTACGCACGGGCCCCTGGCTGAACGCGGGGCTGCCCATGAGCCCCACCAGCAGCTGCAGGGACTTGGTAGAGGCAGGGGGCACCCGGGCACA